TATTGCATTTAGCGCCCGGACTGTTTTGACACATTTCTATGATTTTTTTTAAAAAAGTACAAACCCGAAAAAGTTTTCTTGCGAAAATGCTCGGTTTTCTACATGAACGTTTACATGTGAACACTAAGATCGTGATATATGTGATTTAAATATGAAAACCTAATAAAAACCATAATGAAGACGATATTTATTATTAAGCGTGTGCAAAAGATAAGAATTTTCGTGTAAAATTACAGACGAAAACAATAGCATACGTTTTAAAGCGCATTTAGATAACCAGAGAATGAATTAAATAACAGCTCCATAGTTATTAGGTTGTATGTAAGGTGGCCAGTTAATGACCTGAACTACTTTCACAGACCATCAGTACCAGCTATTGTACAAACTTCTTTCTATTGATAGAATCAGAAGATGTTTTGCTCTTGTATTCCCCAGTGAAGGACGTTTATAGCTGGTCATGGGGCTTGGCAGTAAACGCCTATGGGTAGGTCGCAAGGTTTGCGTCTGCTGGAGAATAGTGACGATCTCCCACCCATGAAGAAGAGGAAGCGAATTAAAAGGAGAAGTGGTTGGTGCGTTTGCGGCGACATTCGTGGCTGAAGGGAGACAATGCTGAAATCGGTTTTGGTTTTATCGTATTCTGAAACGCAGACCAGATTCTAAAACAATATTTGTGCTTTGTAGTATGATAGTCACCGTTAGCCGGAACAAGCGACAAGATTGGAAAAGTATCTTGTATAGTTAGCAATATATAAATAGATGCAGTTTTGGATGACCAGTACATACGGGAAGAGTAATTATGGAGTCGAAGAACTAGATATTTTGCTATAGAACTGTTAATATTTTTTTTAAATCAGACCTAGCCGGAAACTTTGTGGAATAGAAATTACTGATGGTATACAGTGGAGACACAAAATTTCTTGCAAACGTTCATTATATATCAATAAATAAGTCACGCATCATCCTACCTTTTGCGTACTTTTTACTTTAGCTGCTGGTTCACGTGTGTCAAGCGATAAATTTGATATTGGATTCTGACAGCAGTTACGCTGTCACCAAAACAAATGATTTTTAAATTATTTTACATTAATTTAGTTAACTTCCAGGTTGAAATTGTGTTGAAAAAAAACATTTTTTAAACAACCTGCTTTTTGATGTACTCATATTTAAAGAGACACAGTGACGAGTTCGAATGCTTATTCAAACAGGTAAAGGTTGCTCCAGAGTTCTGAGGAAATGTCATCGACGTGAAATACCAATGAGTAGTAGGAAGCCAATCTAATGCCTATTATAGACCGAGTGGCTGAGTTAGCTCAGTTGGCTGGGCAGCTGGTGAAACATGCCAATGGGGGGTTCAATTCCCGGGACGGCTGCTATTACTGCTAAGGATTTTCTTGCTCAGCACCGCGTCTGGTGTGGTGACCCTCAGGTTAAACCGCCACCAGTCGTCTCTCTCTAATGACACAGCGGACTTGGGGTACTTTATAGACCTAGTAAGAAGTGTATATGTTTCTAACCAAATAAGGCTTACTGTAGTCAATAAGTTTTACGTCTGTGTCACGGTGAGTTCAGTTTTAAAACACGACTTTAAAAAGCCGGAATCGGTAAAAGTGACCAGAAATCTGTTGCGTTTGCGTAAAACCCCAACTCAAGTGCAAGTGCTTTGGGGATGAAAACCTATTGTCTTTAATAGGTCAGGCCTATATATAATTCAAGCCGAATGCTAAAGTAGCTCATCATCCAGTTACTGCCATCTAAAAAGACCTGCAAGGGATTCAGTTATGCCATCACCTTCTCAGGCGTATTCGGAACGGATGGACGATAAATGAGGCCACATCCACTACCAGTGAGGTCACATCCTAGAATGTGTGCAAAAAGAGAACCGCTGTGACCATTGTGTGATGTCGCTAAACAGAAAGGCTATGGCAATTCCTGAAAAGGCCTCGGCATTTCCGTTGTAATTATTATCTTACAGGACGGCAGTAAAATTCTACTTGAGATTACACAAACATGTTTAAAAACGTATCCCCTATGAGCAAGGATGTGGCAAATTTTCTTAGGCAATCTTGCAAACCAACAAAAATAAATGTGATATTGAAACAAGTGAAGCGCAAGCTATCACTATCAGTGCACGTTTCCACACACTGTAAATCCGTAGAGAATTCATCCGTGTCATATTTATTAATTAACATATTACCATCAGGTGCTTATCCAGATTAAGGAGGATCTTGTTTTGATGCTATGTTGTTTTTGTTCTTGTTCCAGGTTTTGTTGCATCGCTCCTAATCAACCAAGCACAATTACCTATGTATAATGAACTTGAACATTCTTCCAATTACCTCATTGAAATAATGTCGCTTCTTATAGATAATATTTAATAAATGTGCTGGCGCACATAGCTGATGAAACTATGTTGATGAAACTGTCAGGTTGTGTCTTCCAAATCAGTTGAAAAGATACATAAACATATCAGCGTCATCTTCTGTTTGTATTAGCACGGAGTAAACGGATTAAATTGCATTTCACAGGAATGTTAGCAGACGCAATAAATGCTATTTATGAATTCGTACTGTCCATAAATAAACAATGTATTCAACAGTTTATTCCCTGTTTACTTCGTAGTTGCGCCGAAAAACATTGCTATATTGCATGATACCAAATAACCTGCACTTTTTAATATATATTTATCTATGATGCGCAGTTGAATAACTGGTTCTGTGGTTTTCGGTAGCTAGATCTGTACGAGGTATTCCTTGTTGTTTCTTTAATAACATTGTTATGCCACATTAATACTGCCACATGCCGAACAAGTATGTACGCATCTTTAAATAAGCCTCATTCTTTTTCCAACTATTCGTGGAGAAACATTGTTGAGCAATAGAGGCGTCCAAACTGAGTCAATAAATTCAATTCAACGATTTGGATTGCTTTTTGTTGCTGTGTAGAAGTATTTATGCTGGGATATATTTTATTGCTACTGCTACATTGCTACAAGCTTTCTGCTGTAAGCTGGCCCGCAATGCCACGTATAATAGCAGATTATATTGATGCTTTATGACAAGTTGGTGCAGAGAGCATTTTGTTTGCTTGGGTGATACAGCATCGATCGTAAACATGTGGAAATAATGAGGACAATAAAAAGGTGTAGAATGCCTACTTTTTTGCACATTGCAATGCCATATTATTAAGAAACAAAAATACAAAAAAAGTGTCCGCATTACAAATCAATGCAGAAAGCGACAAATTTATGCCTAGCCATACTACAAAAAAATGAACCGTGCATGCGCTGCATAAATATTACATTTTACACCTTTCGTGATGGAAATGAAATGTTTTGTGTCACTTGCATTATTAAAGACTGTCTCAGTGATCGACGCGGTTCGTACGAACCAATACGGTTTCTGTCATTCAAAACATTTTCACATATTTGAAGAAGTTTTGCTTACATTGATCAACATAGTCCCACCGAAGTATTTTGGAGTGAACTTATTATGCAAACAAAATAGAGGAAAATAAGTATTTAGTACTATATCAAAGTTTCAAGTAGGAAGATATTTGCTTCCCACGTGATAATGAAACGTGGAAGACGCGATTAAAAATCGTTAGGACCAGGTCAGTAACTCTGGTGATTAAAAATCTTTATCCTCTGTAAAAACCGCCATCCTAAACCTGAAACTGTCATAACACAACGGTGTATTTTCTTGCTCTAAGCAGGTTGTGTTCTTTGTTTTAGCTGGTTTTATCTTTGAAATAACTGACTGCTTGATAAAACCATCCTTGCTACAACCAGCTGCCATCAGACCAGGCTCTTCGCTTTCAACCATCACCGGCTCGCAGTGTATTGTACAATAGTTTAACATACTGAAGGCATTTCCACAACCTTGGAAATCACTCGAACCGACTTGAACGGATATCTTCAATTCAACTGTATAGAACTGTGAAAAAATCTAAACATAACCGTAAAAAATGTCAATTTCAACCGCGCTGGACTTTTCTTAATCATAGAGATGTATTCCATGCCAAACATGGGACTTACGTTTTCGAACTGCAGATGCTCATTTTGAATTCTGTATATACGGGTTTGTTGCTCCATGATGTATGCTGTTTAATTCAAAAGTCGGTTTACGCAAGCAGTCACAATACTTAAAGGAAAGATACTCTAATAATTGTTACAGTTTAAAATATATTCAATCACTTAGAATAGATTTAATAGTCCTCATTGAAAAATGGTCTGCAATTGACGTCAATGATATTTGTAGGGTAAATGCATCACTTTGAGTTTAACCGTTTACCTTTAAGCAGATACAACATATTATTTCTGAAATGTGGTATTTGTTGTCATCATGCTGGTAACAGATATGATGCAGAAGGTCATTTTATTTTGCGAGCCTTCAACTTCATGGAAATAATCCAGTGGAAATGAGTCCATAATGCTTAGTGGGGTGTTCAGTTATGCTTTGTAATCCCCCGTAACAAATTGACATAAAGTAAATACAGAACAGATTAACCGCAAAGCGATTGGAGAATTGATTACAGCAACCCAACATTTTACACATTTGGACATTGTTACACATTGCACGTTTTTAGAAGTAGAATTAAATATAAATGTACACACTGCACCAAAGACTTAAAAGAACCGAGTATTGTCACGTAAATATTTGATCGAAATAGTATTTACGTATGTCGTTAATCGATGCATATATCCAAAAGCAACGACATTGTGATCGACAGAGCCGATAAAATATCCAATTTCCCCACGAACTTAATTGTTTACCCACACTCGTTATTTTTAAAAAACTTTATGTTCTCTTGGATCGATCGAATATAGAAATGAAGATATGTTTGATTTTTCCAACAATAGTGAGGTTTTTTGGAGGTGATAAAATTCTTACCGTTCCTTCTGGTTGATTGGCAAATTTGACAGTGATTGACAGGCAGCCATGGCAACCAGATACCGAATCTGCCAAGTCCAATAGAAAATCAGATGTTGGCTGAATGTTTTCCCCCTTTTTAACAGCATCTCATCATCGAAACCGCAAAGGATCTAACCCTGGCACTTGGAGCATCAATTTCATCCTTGGCGTTTGTAAACCTGACTAGAACGCACCGTCTGCAGTGCTTTGCTCATTGGAGTTCGTTCCGTTGTCTTGGTTTTGCATTGATCCAGTTTTGTCTTTTAAAAAAAAAGAGAGAATCAATGTTCCAGCTTCCAATTCTGAATTTCAGCCCTCAGCAGGTGGCGGGGGTATGTGAGACGTTGGAGGAGAGCGGAGACATTGAGCGGCTTGGTCGCTTCCTCTGGTCACTGCCAGTGGCCCCAGCAGCATGTGAGGCACTCAACAAAAACGAGTCCGTCCTCAGAGCTAGGGCTATCGTGGCATTCCACACGGGCAACTTCCGAGAGCTATATCATATCCTGGAGAATCACAAGTTCACCAAGGAGTCACACGGCAAGTTGCAAGCCCTTTGGCTAGAAGCACACTATCAGGAAGCAGAGAAGCTAAGGGGTCGCCCGTTGGGTCCAGTGGACAAGTACAGAGTTCGAAAGAAGTTTCCCCTGCCCAGGACCATCTGGGACGGAGAACAAAAGACTCATTGCTTCAAGGAGAGAACGAGGCATTTATTGAGGGAGTGGTATCTGCAGGACCCCTATCCAAATCCCAGCAAAAAACGAGAGTTAGCCCAAGCCACTGGACTTACACCTACACAAGTAGGTAACTGGTTTAAGAACCGGAGGCAAAGGGACAGAGCAGCGGCAGCTAAAAACAGGTTTGTATTGAATGTGCAGTCTCTTCAAGTACCTATAGACATCTGTTGGATAAATAAAAATCAGGCAGATTATTTGGTCACCTTCAGTTGCAATACATTAATTGGGGATGTTACGAATGCAAATTGAAAATCCAAATGATTTTACGTGCAAAGTTAGCAAAACATGACAACATGCTGCGTTTAGGTAATTTTAAAATTCGTGTTTGAAGTAATATGATAACTAATCGAATCAAATAGGTAGACAAAACAATTGAATTGGTGGATTAATCGATGCTTATCTGTGTCTGCCTAAAACTGTTTGTATTTCATAGTAAAGTGGAGCCGTGTAAATCATGTCTGACGGAAGGAAATACTTCAATCATCAATCCTTGCAACGCGATTGAGCCAACTCTTCCAGATTGACTCTTAGAAGCTCAATATACGGGGTGGATAAACGCTTAGATTTTTTTGTGGGTTTGTTAGGTCCAAAATCAATGTTACTAAATTTTAACGCAAACTATCTCTTTTTATCTTGACTTTAAGTTATTTTCTATAATAATGCCTCAATTATGATAGACTGAAATAGCTTTGAATTGATTCACCATATTTGGAAGCACCAGCAGTTGTTTTTAAGTCATAAAATAGTTTATTTCATTGTTGACATTAGTGCTCATCTCCCATAGTACAATCCTTGAAGGTGATTTTCGAGGCTTTGATTAGCTACCAATGTTGAAGAGTGTTTCTGGGTCTGTGCAAATTTCTCCCTCCACCCCTGGATTGTAATTCCTCGCTGTGTTTTCCTCACGAGTGCAGGCTGCAGCAGCAGATTCTGTCACAGGCTTCCGTGCGTTCATTGAGCGAGGAAGACGCTGCTGTGGAACCACTGGTTGGCGCTTCAAGTCCCGCCGCCAGCTTGTGCAGCGTCTCGGAAAGGAGCAAAGCGGCCACTTCGGCTATCTCCATCACATCGAGCGACAGTGACTGCGACGTCTGAGAAGAGAACCCGGTGCTTGAGGGTGCTTCAAATTTCAGCACAATGAGTCCAGTGAACCCAAGCGGAGGACCCCAGTCGCCAGGTCCTTGCATCATCCTTTTAGGAATGGTTTATTCTGCATTGACGGCGGAAGGCTTGACGACAACGGTCTTTAAAATAAAAAAAACTTGTGATTACCTTTATTTAAAGGATACGTATAGAAAATAAATTACCGAAGTGATGCCTCGACTACCATTTCTGCCAAGCTGCAAGATTTTGAGCACCTACCCTGTAACTTCGTGGGTATTTCATGTTGAAAGAAGGTGTTATATTTTTACTTTACTTTAAAGTTTATATATACATATGTTTGTTTATCTATTTAAAAGAATCGTTTTGTTAGCTTTTTGCATTCTTTGTATGTTCATTTGTGCACAGACTATTTGTAGAGTATTGTTCATTGGGTAGTGGTACACAGTTTGAAAGATAAATAAAATATTTAACAATTCAGTTTTCTTTTCTGAATCTTCAGTTCATCTGTGTTTTCCTGAATAGATTGTCATTGTGATTGCAAAGACTGTGGGGATCTTTAAATAAACATTTTGGATTGGTCAAGGAGAAAATCCGATTTAATCTGAATCAGCTAAACTTGGAACGGATCTGTTAATCCGATACTGTTAAAACTAAGCTTCGTGCCGCAGGGTCGCTAAACCTCATCGAACTAAAATGGCTTCGTGTTATACAATTTGACGTTGATCTTTAAATCACTTGAGCTGTGTTTTGTTTTTGCTCGCGCTGTCTGATTTCATTTGCCTTTTTGCAATAGGAGAAATGATGCTTGTCTTCTGATTTAATGTGATTTCTTTTCTGCTGTCGAGCACTTAAGAATGTGAACTATACAATATGTCTTGACCATATGCAGTTTTGCTTCTTCAATGATATTAAGAGGATAGGCGAACTGCCGTGCATGCTGTTGTCAGTTGTGCATGACATTCAACATTACTTTATGCCTATAATCCTTGCAGTTTATAGTTACCATAAACAGTGAGAGACAAATTGGAAATATTCGCTGCAGTATTCTTTAATGATGGAAAACATGTTGGCGTTTTCAAGCAGGCAGCGTTGTGTGCTGCCGGATTTTGAGATGTAAATGTAAAGCAGTTTTTGCAGGACAATAACCTTTACGACCGCAAATCTGAGGATAATAAGCAGCCCAAGACAAAACCTTAAAACAGAATAGTACGAAGCCTTATTTTAATTCTACAAACAAACGTTGTTTTGTAGCATTTTGAATTGCAAGAGCAAGTTAACACTGAATTTAAATTGCTTTCATAAATCAGACGACAACGTTCTAACAGTTAAATCCAAGTAGCCAACTCTGAGAAATATCCAGGAATACTTCTTTGCATTTTGGTGTATTGTAATTCATTTGAAACAATTCCTAGTGCAGAAAAAAACAAATGTAATGTTACAGTGCGTGGCGAAACTATATATTTATGAATCATTTTAGTGTCGCTTTGTGTATAGCCTATTTAAATGTGTAAAATGTCGCATAAACGCGGTTTAAACACAACGTAACAATGCTATTTGGGAATTCTCTTTAAATTAAAGGAAAAGGGGTCTTCATTTATTAGTAGACACATCCTGTTTCGTGCACACTAACAGTAATATTTTAATTCAACACATTATATAAACAAAAGTACACATCACGGTTTTGACTCAGAAATCAGCAATATTTACTTGATTAATTAATATGAAGCATAATAATATCTATCGGGTCCAATTAACTCCACAATTAGCGATTTTACTAAATACTACGCAACCTATAAAATCTAGTTTGAAATTTGTCATCACCTCAGAGGGCATTAATTAAGGTAAATCAGAAATTTATTAACCAATGTGTAGTAATCTTTTATGATAATCTCCGAAGAAATTAGTTTTTGATTCCCTGCTGTGTTCATACGCATAATGGGAGGTTGCCTAGAATGGATCATAAATTGTACAACAACCACGTATTTCTAACACTAAACTCCACTTCAAAGCTAATGCCCTGCCTGAATGCGCCGATTTCTTTGAGTCTGTTGTGAATGTTAACACATAGCTATCAGCAATCGATCTGTTTATCTGCATAAAATGTAGGAAGGCAGATATAACATTTGGGCTACATTCTTGGTGGATTGTTTTCATATCGAAGTACAGGGCAGTTGGCAAACTAAAGGACAATTTTAAAACGCACATTTTTAAAACGCAGAGATAGTAGGAACTGCAGATGCTGGAAAATCTGAGATAACAAGGTGTAGAGCTGGATGAACACAGCAGGCCAAGCAGCATCATAGGAGCAGGAAGGCTGACGTTTCGGGCCTAGACCCTTCATCCGAAAA